AAGCTGGAAGTGGCACTGTGGCTCAAGTGGTAGAGTGCTAGCCTTGAGCTGAAGAGCTGAGGGACAGCACCCAGGCCCAGAGTTCAGGCCCACGACTGGACCCAAAAATAACCAAAACAAAACCATAAGTCAGGAAGTGAGTTTATTTCTTTTTGGACAACATCCACCTTCCTTCTCTCTCCCAGTTTTTCCTTCCTATCCCCACCTACAAGTTGTGTCAACATAGTGTCTAGTGAGTACCACTGCTGCATTTAATTTTTAATGTATTTATTTTAATTTGCATATTTTAATTATACAAAGGAGTTTTGCCTTGTTCTGGAGGTCTGAATTAATTTTTTAAAGAATAACTGTAAGCCCACCAGTACCTTGGAACAGTTTTATATTTATGAGTAACTGTACATGGATGCACTTGTTCCCTAAAACATAGATATCCAATTGCTTTTTGTTGCACAGTAGTGTAACACTTACTCCAATGCTGCTGCTCTTATTGAAAACATATATTGGGGCTTTCTTTTCAGTTTGTCTTCAGATCCTGGAATGCACTCGAGTACTCCAGTAATTTTTTAATCTCATGTCTTTCAACAATAAGCTTGATTTTGGGAGGGGAAAGCCAAAAGGAATTTAGAGTCAAATACAGAAAAGTAAGATGGATGCAAGGTGATTAGTACCATTTTGGATCCAAATGAGATATAAGTATAAAATAATGAGACATTTCCTTCTGTAGTGCATAAACTTCCACTAAGTGAAGAATTTCAGAGTCGTTTTAGGGCAATAGCAGTTTTCTTAGAATAGGGTATAGTTTTCCATTGTGAAATTTGAGAGACTGATATTCATTTGAATATTCAATCTTTGGTATATAAAAAAAGACAATGAAGACATCTGTGTGTCAGTCTTTTGCACCTTTCCCATAAGGCTACTATAAGGTAATAATTGTTTAGCGCCTATGTTCGGTGTTTGCTAAATCATCAATAATTGTTAACTGTATATCATAATCCTTCCTTTATAGTTCTTAACAAAAGTGATAAAGACTCAGATGGCATTAAAGTGGTAAAATAGCTGAAATAAAGATGCACTTTTTTTTCCTCTAAGGGTACATTCAGGGTGAACACTGTAATTGATGTTAATGATCATGCAAATGACTAAGACTGTTTTCTAAGTTTAGTGGGACTTTATAATCAAATTAACTTCTTTATAGTGTTCAGTTTCAACCTATTCTTCTAAGCTTCTTATTACTGATAGAGGCATAAAGATTTTGATCATCAGAACAGTTTTTATGTTTGATATCAGTTTTTTTTTATTTTGGTTGTCGTGGGACTTGAACTCTGGGCCTGGGTGATGTCCCTGAGCTCTTCAGCTTAAGATGAGTGCTTTTCCATTTGAGCCACAGCACCACTTCTGGTTTTCTGGTGGTTAATTGGAGATAAGAGCCTCACAGACATTCCTGCCCGGGCTGGCTTTGAACAATGATCCTCAGATCTCAGCCTCCTGAGTAGCTAGGATTACAGGCCTGTTCCACTGGTGCTTGGATTTGATATCAGTTTTTAAAGTTGGTAGTATTTCAGCATAGTAAAATCTTGTTAGATTAAAAAAAATGTTTTTGCCAGTAGAAGAAAAATTTCTAATTGTTATTATTGCATATTAAATGTCTTTAGTGCCTTGTATTTTTAGAGCTAAAAATGCTTAAGCCAGGAACCTGTGGCTCATGCCTTATAATCTTAGCTGTACTAGAGGCTGAGATCTGACTATTGTGATTCAGAGAGATCCTGGGAAGAAAATTTCATGAGACTCCTATCTCCAATTAACTATCAAGAAGCCAGAAATGGGGCTCTGGCTCAAGTAGCAGAGCTGTAGCCTTGTGCAAAAAAAGCATAGGAATGGTACATGCCTAGGCCAAGTTCAAGCCCCAGGACCAGCACAAAAATATTCACTTTGAATTTTGAGGCTTTAATTATTTAAATGGCAAATATTTTCTAACCTCTGATTTAAAAAGAACTCTACACTGTGTATCTGTAGCTATTTTTCCTACTTGTTACTTGCATGTTTTATAGCATATAACTTAGTGCCTAATTATAAAAGGTGTATTTTATTTAATTATCTTAATTTTTAATAAATTTTCCCATAGACAAATAGTTTAAAAACATTTTAAATTATTCTAGGATTGCTTCTAGCCTTTCTACAGAGAGACAGATGTCATATGATTTGGTTGCTGTTGGTAGAAAAAATGAGGACTTTCATCCAGTTTTTGAACATCTTGACTCATCTCAGAATACTGAAAACAAAGCTACAGAAGAATTTGCTCAGGAAATCATAGCAATAATCCATCAAGTTAAAGGTTGGTATATTTTACACTTCTGTTAGGGATAACAGAAAAATAATGTATTAGCTTTTTTTGGCAGTACTGAAGCTTCAACTGAAGGCTTTACATTTGCTAGTCTCTTTACCTTGAGTCATGCCCCTAGCCTTTTTTGTCACAGTTAATTTTCAGATGGAATCTTATTCTTTTGGCCTGGGGCCAGCTCTAGACTATGATCCTTCTACCTCTATCTCCCATCTAGCTGAGATTATAGGCATGAGCCACTGTGTCCGGCCTACCTACTGACTTTTCATGATATATCGTAGGTAAATAACTATGATACAGTTGACTAGTTACTAACATTTCATTGCAAACAGATAATGAATTAGGGAATCTGTTGTAAGAAATCAAAAGCCTCATTCTTTAGTTATATTTTCAGTAACTTTCTACTGAAAATTCAGCTGCTATTAGGTTAGAAATCATAAGCTAGGAGAACTTGCTGCAAAAGAGAGTGAGAACAGTGAGAAGCATTAACCTAGAGCCTCACAAGGAGGAAGAAGAAAGATAGGAAACCCAAGTAATTTGGAAATGTAGGTTATTTTGTGATATTCTTTTAAAAATGTTTATTGTTATTTTAAAGGTGATGTACAGAGGGGTTACAGTGACATAGGTCAGGTAAAGTGTACATTTCTTTTTGGACAATGTCACCACTTCCCTCAGTCTCTCCTAGTTTCTCCCTCCCATCCCTTTTGTAATATTTTTTTTTCTCGATCATGGGGCTTGAACTCTGGGCCTGGGTGCTGTCCCTGAGCTCTTCAGGTCAAGGCTAACAACTCTACCACTTGAGCTATAGTACCACTTCCAGTTTTCTGGTGGTTTATTAGAGATAAGAGTCCCATGGACTTCCCTGCCCTGGTTGGCTTTGAACTGCAATCCTCGGCTCTCAGCCTCCTGAGTAGCTAGGATTACAGGTGTGAGCCATGGGCACCTGGCTCTTCTGTGATATTCTTAAAGTTCCTTAAGGGCATTCCTTGGGACAGTGTGCCACAAGGAGGTTTCTAAGAGATCAATTAAAGATTCCAGTTTCCTTGGGATACTTTATGATATAGAGAATTACATAATTAATGCTTAAATTGGCAAGTTTTCATTAATTGGAAAATTCAGTGATGTAGAACAACTTTCCCCAGTAATACAGCAAAAATAAGGTAATTATGGATATTAGAGGTTGTATGTCTTGAAGAATTTCAAATTTTTATTTTATTCTTTCTTGTGCTGGTAAAATGCTTTTCTACAATCCTGATGGCTGAAGTATATTCTCCTCGCCATCCTATTACAAGCTTGTAACAGCTAATTTGAAAATTTCTTCATGAAGGCAGAGATAGGAGGATCATAGTTTGAGAGGAGCCCAAACAAAAAATTGACAAGACCCTATATCAGAGAGAAAGCTAGAATAGCAAGATGGCCTACATCTGTAATGCCAGTAATTCAGGAAGTGAAAATTTGGAGGATAGTGATTTGAGGACAGCTTTGGGGGGAAAAAAGGATAGTAAGAAGCAGGTGTTGGTGGCTTATGCCTGTGATCCTAGCTGCTCAGGCAGCTGAGATCTGAGGATCAGAGTTTGGAGCCTCCCTGAACAGAAAGGTCCATGAAACTATAATTTCCAATTAACCATCAAAATAATGCTGAAGCCGGGTGCCAGTGGCTCATGTCTGTAATCCTAGCTACTCAGGAGATTGAAATCTGAAGATCATGGTTTGAAGCCAGCCTGGGCAGGAAAGTCCTCAGAAAAAGACAGAAGTGTTGCTGTGGCTCAAGTGGTAGAGCTCTAGCCTTGAGCACAGGGAAGCTCAGGAACAGAGCCCAGGCACTGAGTTCAAGCCCCAGGACTGGCGGCAATAGTAATAATAATAATATAATAATAATTCTGGAAGTGGAGCTGTGGCTTAGGTGGTTGAGAGCCAGCCTTGAGCTAAATAGCCAAGCTAAATAGCAGGGCCCAGGTCCTGAGTTTAAGACCCAGTAGTGGTGCAAAAAAAAAAGATAGTGAGCCTCTATCTCAGTCAATAAGCTGAGTGCGGTGATTCATGGGGAGAGGAACATGGTTCCTAAGTGTGAGGCTCTGAGTTCAAACTTTGACACTACCAAGAAAAAATGTCCTCATGAACTCCAGTTAATGTTAAATTTAAACGGCATTGGAATGACTTCTATGATATGTAAACATAACATGTAGTATTTATTTAGAATGTGTGGTGCCTCAGGGTAATTTTTCAACTCTTGTAGGGTTTAGAAAAACACATGAACACTACAAATTAGTTTACAGAGTAAATTTAGTCCCATTTATTTTCAAGAGAAAATGAATTGGATGTCTTTTTTTATTGTCACTTCATGTGCTTATGTTCAGTCTTTTGAGTGGAATCAGTTTTACATTGAGATAAAACTATTTGTTTCATTTTTCAGCAAATTATTTTCCAATGCCTGAAATTACTCTACATGAGCGTTTCTCAAAAATTCGAAACATACATGAAGCAGACGTAAATGAAATTAAATTGAATTCAGATCCAGAAATTCACAGGTAATAATTGATTGGTATGTTCCCACTTAGCTCATGGAAATAAGCCTTACAACGGATTTGGAAAGGTGCTGCTTCTGAGCTTGCTCACCTTGGCTTGCTGTATTCTTTAGGAATGAATTTTCTACATAACAAATGGACCAACCCAAACAACATCTGGGCCAATGCATTTCAATGAAATAGATTCCATTAAAGCCATTGATTAACATTGCTTAAATGTGTATGACTTTGAAAATATCTTCCCAACTTAGGTTCTGTGTCTATAGTAGTTGGCTTTTGAAGTTATCACTGGAAGAATGAAAGGCAATTGTTAAGCCATTGAAAACATGAGCTGCTTCATGTAGTCACAAATGACTGTTCTCAGATCAGCAGGATGAAAACATACCTTTTGCTTGCACTTGTCTAGCAGGTGGTGTACCCTGTCTTGTGAGTTGAGTTGGATCAATGTTAGAAGGTAATATATCAGCAGAACACAGTTTGAAGTTACACACAATGGTGATTTGAGAACCACTAAAACTTCCTTGTAATATGGTTCACAGAATATATGTGTCCTGAGAAACTCCATATAGTTGAAGAAACACAACAACATACCTGCTTTATTTCAGATTCTTTTCTGTGGTAGATGTTAGTATATAATTATTTCATTATAATATGCCTTTATTATTTTAGGAGAATAGATATGTCTTTGGCTGATCTTCAAAGTAAGCAAATTATGGTATATGAACCAGATAAGGTAAGTGACTGTGATTTTTGATGAAAGAATCTTCTTGTTGATCTTCTTGTTGGTATACTTTAACAAGAGGAGTTTAAACGCAGAAGGTTTGAGACCTAGGAACTTGAAATTTGAAAAGGGCTCTAAATGATTTTGATTATTGGTCAAGTGACAAAAGGCAAAATGTTACTGAAGAAGGACAGTCCCTAAGGATAACAACTTTATAAATTGAATACAAAAATGCAGCATTTGATACTCCAAAACTCCCCAAAGTAAGTTTGTGGAAGTAGGTTCCATCCTTATTTTTCCAACGTAGACGTGTGGAATGTATTTTTAAATTATATGTGAAATGAATGCAAAGGAACTAAGTTTCCTTTGATACTGTCCTCTATTTACCGTGGAATGTATGAAAGATTCTTTGGAATATATATTAGCAAAATTATGGAAAATACTATATTTCCTTATTATCTTGTTCTTTATATTAACCTCCTCACTACCATTTCTTTACTCTTTAGAAAGACTATCTTGACTAGCCAGGGAAGAAGAAATTTTTTTTAAGTATGTCAAGTTCAAAAAGAATTGCTAAAGTATTCATTAAGAATAAAGTATATGAGAGTAATACAACTGGTAAATATTTTTTTTTGTTGGTCATGGGGCTTGAACTCTGGACCTTGGTGCTGTCCCTGTACTCTTCAGATCAAGGCTAGCGCTCTACTACTTGAGCCATAGCGCCACTTCCAGTTTTCTGATGGTTAATTGGAGATAAGAGTCTCATGGACTTTTCTGCACAGGCTGGCTTTGGACCATGATCCTCAGATCTCAGCCTCCTGAGCAGCTAGGATTATAGCTATGAGCCACTGGCACCCAGCCTGATAAATATTTTTTACTTATAAAATAATTATCTTTATACTTGTAGAAATAGGTTAGTTTTATTTAATGGTATTTTTAGAAAATTTCTAAATACCAAAGTATGTATCTTAAGGAAATTTGAGGACTTTAAATTTCATCTATAATTTAACTATCTAAAACAAAATAGCATTTATCTTTGCAATCTTATATATTGCATTTTAACATAGTATAAGCACTTTTGTATGCTTTTTTTATTAGCATATATTGGCTATACAGGCTATGGCATTTCCATACATGTATAAAATGTATTCCAGTCAGCTATCCCACAGTTATCACTCCCCCTTACTCTCTTCTCCTTTCAAATACTATTTTAGGAGGTTCCATTGTTCTATTTTCATATACTTCCCCCCTTAGTCCATCATAGTATTTATTCCTTTTATGTAAAAGCGCTGAATTCCCCATGACCTTTTTATGATTGAGAATTTTTAAGTTTTAATTAACTTCTTTTCTTTTCTTTTCTCTTCTTTTTTGGTTCAAGAGCAGGACTTGGTACCTGATGATTTCACTCATTAGCACATTCTACCAACTGAGCCATGCCTCCAACCCCTAACTTTTTTTTTCAAAAAGTGTTTTTCATGTTGACTTCTACATAGTATTTATTGATTTCAGTGGTTTCACATTTGCCATAATTTAATCAGCGTTTCCTTCCCCTTTAAATTATTTTTACATTTAATTTGCCTCCATTTTCATAATTTTCTTTATTTCTTTATTTCTTTGGTCATGGGGCTTGAACTCTGGACTTGGGCCTGGTCCCTGAGCTCTTCAGCTCAAGACTAGTGAGCCACCACTTTGAGCCACAGTGCCACTTCTAAGTTTTGTGATTTCAGATGTAAGATTTTAAATATTTTCATGTAGGCAGCCTTGTCTTTGGGATAGAATCCAAAAAGTAGCATTTACTAGTTTAGTGTTAGGAGTTTTTCTGATTATTGTCAATTGTCTCAAAATATTTATATCAGTTTACACTGCAGTTAGAATGAGTACAAGATAACTTATTTAGGACTCCCCCCCCCCATTTCCTGGAGTTCATTTCGATAAATCTTTTTTTTTTTTATGGTCAGATGCACATAGGCATTGTGCCTTTGTGTTCCTATCCTAAGAGTATTTTAGGATTTTAAATTAAGGTTCTTGTTAGATATGGTCTTTGTGCAACTAACAGTAATGTGACTGGTTTGTCTTCTATCAAAATTCCTCAGACTCTGGTCAAGATAATAGACCCAAATGACCTACGACATGACATTGAAAGAAGGAGAAAAGAACGGTTACAGAATGAAAATGGACACATTTTTCACATAGCTAGTGCTGCAGAGAGGTAATCAGTAGATGAAAAACAACCTGATATCAGGGTGCTTTTGGTTTCAGCATTTTCTTCAGTTTTTTGGTATGATCATTTTAGTGTAGGGATTTGATCCTTTGAGTTCCTTTTATATGTTTAAGTAAAATGTGTCATAGTTATTCAGTGATTATTATATGCAGCTTGATTTTAACAACAAAAATTATGGAGTAGTTGAATATTGGAAGTTTTTATAATTCTAGAGAGGAGTGTAACAGCTTGTTGAATATTGGTAGAAAAGAGAACCAGTGAGTTTATGGACTGTTAACTCTAGCTGATTAGAACTCATCTATTCTGTCCTTTAGATTCTGAGTTAGTCTTAATAGTATAACATTTGCTGAAGTACAACATTTTCGGATTCTTCAGTAGTTCTGCCCATGAAATAAGTAGGCATCATACAGAATTCAGAGGAGACCTACCTAAGTTTGAATATCACCACTGTCCATTTAAAAGCTGTTTGAAACTGGAGTGTCGGTGGCTCATGCCTGTAATCCTAGCTACTCAGGAGGCCAAGATCTGAAGATCATTGTGCGAAGCCAGCCCAGACAGAAAAGTCCCATGAGACTCTTATCTCTAATTAACCACACAAAAACTAGAATTAGAGCTGTGGTTCAAGTGATAGAGTGCTAGCCTTGAGCACAAAAAAGCTCAGGGACAGAGCCCAGGTCCTGAGTTCAAGCCCCACAACTGACAGAAAGCTGGAAGTGGACCCTGTGGTTCAAGTGGTAGAGTGTTAGCCTTGAGCAAAAAGAAGCTCTGAGTGCCTAGGCCCTGAGATCAAGGCCCAGAACCTGCGCTCTTGCATGCATGCACGTGCACATTTGTGTGTGTGTGTGTGTGTAAGATCACATATGTATGTGTATGTGTGCACACGCACACACACACACCACTGTTTGATCTTGGGACAAATATGCTAACTTTCTGGAGAATGATGCTAAAATTCACTGCTTATGTGAGGCATTTATGCATATTAGATGACTGGTCCATCTGTATTACTATGCCTTGCATGGCAAATAGATCATTAGCAGATCTTGGTTTTTCTTTTTCTTTTCTTTTTTCTTTTTTTGCCAGTCCTGGGCTTGAACTCAGGGCCTGTGCACTGTTCTTGAGCTTCTTTTGCTTAAGGCTATCACTCTACCACTTGAGCCACAGCGCCATTTCTGGCCTTTTCTGTTTCTGTGGTACTGAGGAATTGAACCCAGGGCTTCAATGCATGCTAGGCAAGCACTCTACCACTGAGCCACATTCCCAGCCCACATCTTGATTTTTCTGTCCTAAACGTTTATCTCTTTTTAGAAACTCTTAGTCATCTAGTTTGACCCCAGTTTAGTTCTGAGAAATCACTGGACTCAAGGCCTAATGGACACCATATGATTATGAAGTATGGGACAAAATTCCCGGTTTAGACAATAATTCTTTCATTACTTGAATCTTCTGGAAAGCGGCATTATTTGGATAATAATTCAGATAGTTAGAGCTAAAGGATTTTCCATAATCCTTAGTGCTAAATTGAATCCAGAACCTTACATTCTTATTTAGCTTCTTTATTTATGACTAGTGCTATACCGCCCGAGCCATAGTTCTACTCCTTGACTAGACTTTTAAAGCCAAGTTTTCCTGTAAGTCAAAATACATGGAACTTGTTTAAAACTAGTCTTGATTCTGAAAACATGTTTGGGACTAATTAAAAGACAGCGAAACTGTGTATTATGGCATATAAAACAACAAAATAAAATTGTAAAAATTTTATCTTTTACTAGGTGAGAGTCATTACTGATATGGTTAATATATGGCATAATTGTGCTCTTTAATGACACAAACTCTATATGTCAGGTTTTTCTTAACTCAGCAAGTTTAAGAAACCCAGTGTGCCAAGAAACAGAACATTACAGATAGATTTAAAATGACCAGCCATGTAGCTGATTTGGTACAAGTTACTTAGTCTTTGTTTTGTCATCTGTGAAGTATGGATAAAAATTACACTTACCTCATACTGGTGGTTAAGATTAAGTGAAGTGATGAGTATAAATTAGTGTAGCTGGTTAGCATTAAATTCATTAAGGACTTTGAGGACACTATTGTAGCATGCAATATGTTCCTACAACATGTCTTGCTCAAGTGGTTGGATTATTTTATTAGTATTGGATAATTGGTGTGGCATCTGGAGCCATGAGAGTTTTAAAAAATTAAAATAGCAATTACCATAAAATTCACCATTCAATACTCAACAGCGCACAGAGCTGTACAACCAGTATCACTATTGCAAAACATTTTAGCACCTAAGAGGCAAACAGTATACCCAATAGCTGTGACGCTCCATTTCTGTTTCTGCCAACCCAACCCCTGCTCTACCTCCTGTCTCTATAGCTTAGCCTATTCTTGACATTTCATATGAATGCAGTTATATGATATGTGCTCTGATCTCAGTTCACATTTATTGACTGAATGATGAATAAATGAAGACTTTCCAAAGAAGCAGAAAGAACAGAGGATATTTAAGTTGAAATGCATTTTAACAAGGGTTATTATTTCCTGTGCCTTAAGGTACATCAACAAGCCAGATTCTTGGGGATTCCATCTAATCTCTTAAGAACCTAAACACAGTTTCTCATCCAACCAGTATAGTAAGTCCACTACAATGTAATTGAGGTATTATATAGGTATGGGTTGTGAGTGATTACATAGCTTAAATATAGTATCAGTGGACAATAAATTGCCAGAACTTTTTTTTGAAAAAGCTAGGTAGTTTATAAGTTTATAAGTGATAGTTTATTACTGTAACGATCTATACTCTATACTCAACTAGAGTGAACTATGTAAAAGGTTTTATTCACATACACAACAAATATTTATATGCTAGTTCTTTATTCTAAAGTTCTTACCCTATATATTGGGCATACAGTGAAAAACTAAACTGTACACAAAGCACTTGCAATTTAATGGTAGAAGAAAGAAAACAAATAAATATATGTCCATGGAGTGATAGATAAAAAAAAAAGCACATGTTAGGACTTTAAATTTTTATTTATTTTTGTGCCAGTCCTAGGGCTTGAACTCAGGACCTAGTTACTGTCCTAGAGCTTCTTTTGCTCAAGGCTAGCACTCTAGCACTTGTGCCACAGCTCCACTTCCTCAATTGGAGACAAGAGTCTCACAGCCTTTTGTGTCCAGGCTGGCTTCAAAACCCTGATCCTCAGGGCTGGGAAGGTGGCCCAGTGGTAGAGTGCTTGCCTTGCATGCATGAGGCCCTGAGTTTGATTCCTCAGTACCACATAAGCAGAAAAAGCTGGAAGTGGCGCTGTGGCTCAAGTGGTAGAGTCCTAGCCTTGAGCTGAAGAGCTGAGGGACAGCACCCAGGCCCAGAGTTCAGGCCCCACGACCAGCAAAAAAAAAAAACCCCAAAAACCTGATCCTCAGATCTCAGTCTCCTGAGTATCGGCTGGGCTATGGTGGGAACCACTGGTGACTGGCTATGATTTTAAAATTTTAGCAGGGTATGAATTATATGAATCTGTTATCTGCAGGATTACTTGAGGAGATAACATTTCCAAAGAGAGACTGATAAATTCATAGAACTTGAAGCAGGAACATGGTTGCTCTTGTTTAAGGATTAGGGGGTGTGTGTTGGAAAGACAGGGAGGAATTGCTGGTGGTCGTGCAACATAGTGGAAAAGGAGAATGTAGATGAGACCAAATCAGGAAGGATTTTAATGGACTGAAGGATATGAAGACTGTAATTTTTTTTTGGTCGGTCATGGGGCTTGAACTCAGGAAGGATTTTAATGGACTGAAGGATATGAAGACTGTAATTTTTTTTTTGGTCGGTCATGGGGCTTGAACTCTGGGCCGGGTACTGTCCCTGAGCTTTTCAGCTCAAGGTGAGCACTCTATCACTTGAACCACAGCATCACTTCCAGTTTTCTAGTGGTTCATTGAGATAGGAGTCTCATGGACTTTCCTGCCCTGACTGGCTTTTTGAACCATGATCCTCAGATCGCAGCCTCTTGAGTAGCTAGGATTACAGGCATGAGCCACTGGCACCTGGTGTAAGATTGTAAGGCAGATGCTCTTCCACATGTCCAGCCTCAAACAAAGTATTTTTTATTGTGGCACTGGGTTTGAACTAGGGCCTGTGCTTTACAAGGCAGGATTTTTTGGCTGTGCCTCCAGCTCTGTATTTTACTCTGAGTAAAATTAGAAAGTATTTCGGGTTCTAATTAGAGAAGAAACATAATGCCATTTACTTTTTATAAGGATTCCTATAGTTGCTGAATAGAGAAAGGACTGTAACAGCTAGAGGAAAAAATCATTTCTCAAGTGAAAAACAAAAACTTAGAGCTAGGAAGTCTACATGAAATAGGGTAGCATTATAGCATGAACTCATCTGGGAACCAAGCTCCTTAGATCTGGCCCCTTCCATATCCTCTGCATATGGTGTCAGCTTCATGACCTCAGTTGCTTTTTTTGTGCTCTAGCCATCATGGCCTCATTCTGTTCTTTCATTTAAAGACTTCTTGACATTTATACATGATATTTTAAACCTTTTTGCCAAAATTTAGTCCCATGGCTATGCTTAGCTGTAGGGTGGTTGGGAAGGGGGAGAATCCTTAACCAAGGTGTTCATTTCCTGGTCAAAAGTCACCGATCAAAAGATTTAAAATTTTTAACTGTAGTAAAATATACCTATCATAACTTTTTTTTTATGTGCTGGTCCTGGGGCTTGAACTCAGGGTCTGGGCTTTTTTTGCTCAAAGCTAGCATTCTACTACTTGAGCCATAGCTCCATTTCCAGTTTTGATTTTTTTTGTTAAGTTAATTGAAGAGTCTCACAAACATTCCTTCCCAGGCTGACTTTGAACCACAATCCTCAGATCTCAGTCTCTTGAGTAGTTAGGATTTATAAAAGCGTGAGCTACCGGAGCCCAGCAGGATTCTTTATATATATATTTTTGATGTTATACAGACTGAGCATTCTTTACCTAAAATGCTTAGGCATAGACATGGTTTATATTCCTCCAAGTCTTAATATGAAACTTAAGTTTCACATATACTTTTTATGCAGTGTTTTTAGTGAAGCTGTGTGTGATTTTTCTGTTGTTTTTTAAAAAATAATTTTATTGGGCTGAGAAGGTGGCTCAGTGGTAGAGTGCTTGCTTTGTATGCATGAGGCCCTGGGTTCAATTCCTCAGTACCACATAAACAGAAAAAGCCAGAAGTAGCACTGCAGCTTAAGTGGTCAAGCACTAGCCTTGAGCTGAAGAGCTGAGGGACAGCACCTAGGCCCAGAGTTCAAGCCCCACAACTGACATACATACATACATATAAATAAATAAATTTAATGAAATAATTTAATTATCTTTAAGTAGTTGTACAAAGGAGTTGACATTCAACAAAGCAGTTTATGAATACAGTGCTTCTTGATCAGTGTCACCCCTTTCAATTCTCACTCAAAACTGCCAACCTACCCTTTCCTCATTTTTCTTAATTTGTAGGCTATGCATTGAATGCTTTTGCCTTTTGACAGAGCAATTTATGTATATAGTGCATCTTGATTTGTATCACCCCTTCAACACTTTTACCCCCTTTCCACTCACCTCTTCCCTTATTTTTCTTGATTTGGGGTATATGCAATGATTATTAACTGCATTCTCCCCCATTCCTCCCTTCAATCACTATGTCAGATGTGGAATTTGTCATTTGTGGTATCATTTGTAGTTGGTGCTTATATAGCTTTAGCTCTTGGAGAATTTCAGATATTATATTTTCATATTAGGGATGCTCAGTCTGTATTTCCTTATATGGCATATGCTTCACAAAGAGGAATTTTTAAAACTCATTGTTTTGCTTTATTGTAGTTATATATGTTAAGGATAATTATTGAGAAAAATATAGTCAAGTATAAAAATATAAGGAATTTTTAATTCTACCAGTTAGAGATGGCCACTGTTAACATTTAGTACAATTTCTGTCATACTTTTTATAGGCACATGGGTATATACTTTAAATAATTGAAATTATCCTCAATATATAGCTTTTTACTCTACTGCTTTGACTTAATATCATATCATGAGCATTTTGACATGATATGGGTTTTATTGAACATTTCAAAAGGCTTGAGTGTCTGTTTCATGTCAGTTTCCAGGGTAAGAGACTCAGCTTACATCACTAAGTATGCAAGCATACCAGTAGTTACAAACATGAAGAGCTATGTTTTAAGACTCCAAAATGCTATATACATGTGCTCTTAGCATGAAGTACCTAGTCTGCCCTGGAGGGGTTAAAGAAAGTCTTCCTTGGAAGAGGTACAAATGGAGGTGAACTTTCAAGTTAATCTAAGTGGAAGACAATGATACAGAAGGGAATGCAGGGGCAAAGGTGTAGAAACAGAAGTGATTGTGGTGCATACTGGGAACCACACATAGTCAAATATCCCTGAAGCTCAGTATGGTGTCCAGAACATTGGAGCAAGGCAGCAAGGGCCAGAACAAATATGTCCTGGGAATTATGCTGAGGTGTATGGATTTTATTCCAATGCCAGTGCAGAGTGTCTGAGAGAAACTGAAGCAGGTTGAAGTGTGAGCAATTGGTTCAATAAGGAGTGGGGCCCAAAGAAGAAGTAGAAAGGGTCTCAGAGTGTTGTGAGGAGATGACAAGGTGAGATTTACATAATGGCTGTGGAAATGAGGTTTTTGGGCTCAGAAGAAAAGCCCAAAGAAGGACCTGCTTCCCACATAGGGTTGTAGGACTGCCTTGATAAACCCCTTAGTGGCCTTAGGACCTCATGATATCAATGAAAGGGGAGCCTGTTCTTTGCTGCTATTGCCTAGAAACAACAGAACCCTGAGCTCTGCCAGTGAGGCAGCTTTATTCTAGTCCCCACACCTCACCTCTGATGGATGGGCTGGATCTTGAGCCCTTAGAGCTTCTGCCTAGAGAAGTATGTCAGCAGGGGGCAGGCAGGGCAGGGCTGCCAAAGGCTTTAGAGCAGTGTCAATCTTTCCTCAGAAAACAAATGATCAGTTTCAACCTCCAACAAGGCTATTCTTGGACCTAGATTGAGAACTCCTACTATAGGAATATTGTTTTTTTCCTGCTGTTAACTTCCAGCGTAGCTAAACAATGCATGTTGAAAAGTGAGGATTTTACTCTTAACTACCATTTATAATTTTAGTAGTGATAAGTAGTTGAGGTTTTACTGGTGTTCTACTTTGTTTTTGAAGGGCTTGTTCCTGTTCTTGTTATTTGTAAGATAAAAGTAAACTAACAAAAGGTTCTTAGTTTCTCTTTTTATTTTATTAGGAACAATCAGCGTTCCAGTTTTACAAAGTTGAAGAATACTCATGCTGATGGATTCCCCAAACTTCCACATTTGATAAAACCAAATTTTAGAAAATTTATTCAGAAACCTTACATAGTAAGATTGGAGTTTCAAATTTTTCATTTTTGTGCATCCTCTTTATATTTTTTTCAAAAATGTTTAACTACTCATTGATTATGTGTAATTTAATTGAAGTTATATCAGAAGAAATACTCATCTTTTATTTGATTTAGTTTGATTTTATTAGACTTATTATAGTACCAAGTCAAGATGTTTTGGAAACAACTTTATTAAGATATGATTTATATGCTCTAAAGTTCACCCATTTTATATTTATAGGTCCTGTTTTACATTCTTATCATTCATTTGTTTCGAATTGTGTATTAATTGTTCAAAAGTGTTTCACCATGGTATTTCACACATGCATGTACAGTATGAAATAGTTAATAAGACTGTTGATTTTAGGAAATGGGAAACTATATACAGAATGAGCTTCATCTTTTCTATTGCCACTAGAGGATTCAGGTTCTTTGCAGTTACCAGTTATTTCTGGTACCTCCTGGGCTGATGTAGGAGCACCATCTCAAATCAATTAATCTAAGTTAGCAAAAACAGCCTCATATGGTGTTGAAGATTTGTATTCTTGTGAAGTAGAAACCCTTCAGCAACTACAGATACTAATAGATTGCTTTCTATCTTTGATGCCTGAGTAAATGACTTCTGAATTTATAGTCCATTTTCTAAAGTTCAACAATTATACAACAGAGGTGTTTCACATTAATCACAAGCATAAATGAAATCAGTTCCTAAACTAGCATGGTTCATGTAAAAGAAGAATTATGTGTATGCTTACAGTTAATCTCTATGCTTTAGGTTCTTAACCCTGAATTCTTAAACAAGTGTCTTTTAAATGGTGAACTAGTTTTAAAGCCTTAAAGTATATTAACTCATACCAATGCTTTTTTGTTCAGAATTATACTATGCAAAGAAAAGATAATATTACTTTGAAATCATATGACTTTGACGAAAACCAAGGCTCTAAAATGCTTTATAAGGTATTGTTTTTCATTTAACTCTTTCTGTTGGCTTATACTTTGGACATAACATTCTAAGTGTTCATACATTGAAAGCTATTTTTGTGGCATTCTTTCAAAAAGTAGCTATAAACAAGTTTTTTTAATGAGTATTTCTAATATTTATAGTTAATTGTGATCAGTTTAATGGTGACCTATTTCCTCAGGACTTGACTTTCATTTTTTATCCAGTAGAAGGAACTCTTTATCAAGCATTGTCTGGAAATAGAGATGCATAGAAAAGATACAGGTGGAATGATTTTAATTGGGGAGTCAAAGTCCTAGATCTTGTTGTTAAGCCTGTCCCTTAACTACTGAGGCCTAAGTTCAGAACTGTAGTGTTTTCTCCTGGAGTCATATTTAACAAACCCTGCCCATGAACATATAACCCTCTTGATCATCATATATCTTACTCTAATTGATTGTACATCTATATAACTTTTTTGTATTGGAGCTTGAACTCAGGACCTAGATGCTGTTTCTGGGATTTTTTTTTCTTCTTAAAGCTAGCATCCTACCACTTGAGCCACAGCACTACATCCACCTTCTTAATGGTTAATGCGAAATAAGAGTCACAGAATTCCCTGCCTGGACTGGCTTTAACCCACAATCCTCAGATCTCAGCCTCCTGAGTAGCTAGGATTATAGGCATCAGCCACCAGCACCTGCTATCAGTTTTTGAAATTGGTTTTTATGTAAAACAATTTAAAAAATAATATTAGCAACCAGCACTAATACCAAAATACATTAGCAAGTAATTAGAAATACACTTTTTTTTTGCCATCATTATTAACCTCTTCCCTTTTGATACCTGTAATACCTAATTCTAGGACAGGTCTAAGTACTAGACATGTTGCCATCTGCTATACTAATAAAGTTGACTCAGAAACTGTAGTTTTGTCATCAGATTTTTTTCCTTTTTAGTATTTATTTTTATTAACTAGTTGTACAACGGGATTTCAATTCCGAAATTCAGGCTATGAGTGCAGTTCATCTTGATCAGTGTTGCTCCATCCATTGTTCTCCCCTGTCTTTCCCCATCCCATCCCTACCCTCACGTTATGTGGTTCAATTTTTATGTAATGTACATTGAATATAATGACTTATTTGCTCACCCTTCCTCTCTCCATTCATATACTCCCCCTCATTGCCCTCCTCCCCAGAACATATTGTTTTTTTTATTTACAGAGCAACTTTAGTGGTGACAGTTTCCAGCCCCATTACAGATCAAACCTGGTACAAAAGAGCTTGTACATTCAGGCTAAATATCAACGTTTACGATTTGCTGGTCCAAGAGGATTTATCACTAATAAATTCAGAGAGAGATTACTGAGGCTAAAAAAGGTTAGTTGGATTATGATCATTTAAAAATGTTAAGTAGTTTTGGAACTCTTAAATCATATATTCATTAGACAAAATTATATTCTTCATTCAGTTTTAAGAAACAACTTGGATTTAAAAAAAGATTTTTTGCATGATATTTGAATAAAAACATTAAGGAGTAATGCTTATAGCGTTGTAAGACTATGTAACCTTAAAATACTTTTAGCTCAAACATGTTGAACTTCTTATTTTAGCTCCATTTATTTTTGCATTTCTGTTCTATAGTTAATCATTAAAATGGAAATTCAGGTAAAGAGGTTGGACTGACATATTTTAGTCTTTTAATTGTAAATTATCTGAATGCCAAAAATACTGAACCTGACTTCAGACAAAATGTATATAATGGCAAAATATACTAACTTGTCTTTTTCCTCTATTCATGTATTTCTAAATTGTGGCAAAATAGGTAGAAGGAAAAAATTCCTGTTTAATAATTTTAAAGTATGCAATTAAGTGATATTAATTACATTTATAATTCTATATAATTATTGCCACTATATTATACCTCTTCTAAAACTGATTTTGAATTGGCAAGTAAAAATTACATATGTGGGCTGGGAAGGTGGCTCAGTGGTAGAGCACTTGCCTTGCATGCTCGAGGCCCTGGGTTCGATTCCTCAGCACCACATAAGCAAAAAGAAAAAAGCCGGAAGTGGCACTGTGGCTCAAGTGGTAGAGTG